GATGCCTTTCTGTTCTTCTGATGGTGTCCTGTACAGAAGCTTTTTAGTTTCATGTAGTCTCATTTGTTTATTTTTGCTTTTGTTTCCCTTGCCCAAGGAGATGCGTTCAGGAAAAAGTTGCTCATGTTTATATTCAAGAGATTTTTGCCAATGTCTTCTTCTATGAGTTTTATGGTTTCATGACTTACATTCAGGTCTTTGATCCATTTTGAGTTTACTCTTTGTGATAAATTTTCATTGAAAAGATGAATTTGGGAGGATGGGAAGAAGTTCTTAAAGGGTGAGGTCTTCAGTCTTTCCTGTTTCGTGTGGCTTTGGCCACCATTTCTCTGTGAAGGTTTGTTCTTCAGGATACTGACAGCGTGAATTCTCTGGGTGACATCATGTAAAGGAAATTAGCTCAGTATGTCTTCTACTGAATTCCATCTGTAGCTTAATGTTTTAAGGTATTTGTGAACAAGGCTACTGAGCAATTTTGATAAGACAAGGCAATGTTCCAGTCTCTGAGAATATTTCTCCAAGAAAACCATGTTTTAAAATACCACTGAGCAGCCTGAAAATCCACCCACGCATGAGCAATCTCCTGCCATACACAGAAAGCTTTTCAGGTGTCACAGCCATAATAGCAGGTGGTTTCTTTCAGTAGAAAAATTATGCCAAGGAAATAGAGACAGAAAGCAAACTGTTTTGATATTCTGGGTACAGCTTTCCCAAGTGAATCATTCCCATATGCCTACTCTTACCATGGGCTCCTTTCCAGAGGAAGTGGGTTGTGTGAATGGTGGGGTAGAGATGCATTCTGGTGGGCAATCTTTGATGGTACCCACATTTGGCAGATCCGATTCATCTTTAGATATTTTTCAACCCCCTCTTGGACAAGTTTCAAAAGGCAATATTTGACTATAGATTTGATACCTGTTTTTGCTCACCTTGTAATAAATACGTAATCTTGTTAAGAAGATTCAGTAGTGCTCATTTGAGGCAAGGCTGCATCTGAAATTTCATATACATTTTAAATACAAGCTTATAAGGCAGACTGAAACTAGAGCAACATGCAAAGGGTGGTCATTTAACTCACTTGTCTAGGACAAAATATTTGAAATATACAAAAAGTTTAAAGAACAGGTCTTTATTCTTCAGTGAACTTTTGTTGCTTGTAAAATAAAAATCGGATTAGTAAAAAAAACTTCAAGATTAGAAGTTAAGCAAAACTCCAGTGTATAAGCCTGGCATTCCTATCATTCACAGCCACACCAAGTCTCCTGACTTCATTTGGATAGAAGCAACTACGCTGAAAAATAGAAAGGAAACAATCATTAACCTATTCAGTTCTAGCCCTCCAAGTCTTAGAGTGACGAGTCACTTACTAGCTGTGTGACACTGGGCAAGTTCTTGAACCTCTCTACAGCTCAGAGTCCTGAACTGTATGGTGAGGATAATAATAGGATTTACCTGTTAGGGATGGCATATGGAAAGCCCTTAGAACAGTGCCTGGCATACAGTAAATGTTTAATAAATGTTAGCTCACTTCTTCTCAACAAATGTTAGCTCCACACGAGAGCAGGGACTTTGTCTGATAAAGTTCTGTATTCTCAGCTTCTGTTTTTCCCAGAGTAGGCACAAAATAAACTAATGAAAGCAGCTAGCTTTTAAGGTTGAAAGTCAAAGAGAATTTGTCCAAAGTTTTATAGCTAGTGAGGGAAGAACAGACCTCAGGTTCAGGGGAGGTTAAGAAGGTAGGAAAGAATCCTAAACTAAGATGAGAAGACCCACATTCAAGTTTAAATTCTTCTAAATCTCGGGGCATGGAGACTAAGGTTCTTTCCTAATTTATAAAATGGGAATAACTCCTAAGGTTATTCTAAGGATTAAATGAAGGTATATGGGAAAGCTCACAATAAACTACGAAGGGATATACAAACACATGATATTATTAATTTGTATCTCAGTGATTTTATCCATTGGATGACAATAAAATGATTCTATGAGAGCCTTAGAAGAAAGAAGCTTTAGCTAAGATGTAAGTACTAAAAATATTCAACCCCAGAGGTACCACAGACATAGACTAATTTTTTCCATCTGTGCAGTTTAGGGTAGATTTGGCATACGCTCAATACCAGGAAAGAAAGAGACTATGGTTTAGGCTGCTTTTAAGTAAAAAAAAAAATGCAGAAAAGGAAACGATTTCCTTTTATAAGCAAGAATGTTAAAATAGGGAAAGTCTTCATGGAGTAATTCACCACTTGAAGCAAGACTATGGATCCCTATGTGCTCCTCCCCATTTATGTTCTAATTAGTTAGTTGTTTGAGATATCGTGATTTAGGTATTATGGTCACTTCCTCCTCACCGAAGAAAAGCAATACAGATTATCCTCTATCAGCCACACGTGAGTCAGAGGTCACAAGAGCAGTGGTTTGTAGGGCAGTCTCCCTAGATCAGTAATATTTAAAGCCCTGGTTTCAGAGCCAGGGATTATTCAAATCACTATGGCTTTAAGATTAGGCCCCACCCAGGATGCCTCAACAGAGCCTGAGTTTGAGGTTGAGAAACCAACTTGAGGAAAAAGATAAAGGAGCAGAAAAGCCATAGCCCGTGAGTCGATGACTCACCGCCCCTTCCTTGAACTTCAGTAATGACAAGTTGGAAGAGGGAGAAAAAGGCAGTGCCCCCCTGCAGACCAGATGTTCCATGAAAGACTAGAAATTCAGAGACCTTAAAGACTATATATGTTCTCAGCGTAAAGTCTAAAGATGTAATTTCCATGGTCAATTGTTAAGTGCATCAGAGAAAGGACACAGGAAAACTACACTCGGCTACACTTCACCATTAGAATGATCATCCTACATCTGAGTGTTTACTCTCCTGCTTAAAAACCTCAATAACTCCACTCTTAGACTAAATTTAACAATGGCATATACTCTTCTTCAGAACGTGCCTGCAATCTTCCTTGTTAGCTTCATCTTCTAATTAATTATTACACATCTTGGAAGGTGTAACTCTGGGAAAGGAAATCCTGGGGCAAAATACTTCTAAAACCAAAATCAAAGTGAGAAATAAAGTTTAAAATCTGTTTTTTGCTTACAAACTGTGGTCCGGGGCTGTCTCTCTTTCCTGCTCCCGCAGAAGCAAACCCAGCCCTCCCCTTACCTCTCAGGTTCAGATAAGCCCTCTGTTGCCCAGGTAATTACACACTGATATGGAGGTGAACTTTTCTCCACCCCTGAGGAACGCCTACTGATATGCAGATGCACTTAAGCCATACTTACCTCCACTCCTGAGGAACGCCTATTGCACTAAAGCCAGGGGAGATATTCTGGAAATATTATAATTTTACCCACAGAAGGTTTGGGGGAACCACTTGTAATTTACCAAATAAGCCAGATAATTTTAAATTCCAGCGCTTTTGTTTATATTTTTCTCTCTGCCCAGAACTCTTCTCCTAGTTGGCAAACCCTTACCTTACCTATACCTCACAGCCTGGCTCAAGTATCACTTCTTCTTGGTGACTTTCTCAACTCCTATTCACTCCTGCTACTCAGAATGATTATTCCTCTGTCTCTGGAGTAATTGGACTTTAAGTGTGCTTTTGTTAAATCACTTAACTTGATATATTAAGTAGACTCAGAGGGTTCTATCCTCTGCCCTGCTCACTGCATACTCTGTGAAGGGGAGTGTGAGCCTATAATTGTGCGATTCTTGATACACTGTAGATGTGTAATACAGGTTTGTTGAGTTGAATCAAATATTAGAGGAGGACCAAAACAGAAGTGGATTTCTTAGACCAAGGGCTAAGATTGGAAAGTGTAATGTTTAATCCGCATGTGTGATATTGGTCTTACCAGAGTGTGTGTAATTTGCTTTCATTCAAAAAGAGTGTCGTGAATACATTTCTCTAGATAAAACATTATTAATCCATTTTCGACTTAGAATCGGCACTCCCATAAACCCAGTTAGCCAAAAGGTGGCTGAGAAATTTGAAATATTCACCAGCTGGAGTGGAATCACATTTAGGGCTGGCTTCAATCAGCGCACCTGTGTCTTGCTTTTGCTCTTCAAAGGGTCTGTCAGTCAACCATAGCCTCTGAAGGCACGAGCAGGAAGGAAACCAGATGAAATCTGTTGAATTTTAAACTCACCACGTTCTCTAGCATTAAACTTTTCTTCTCTAATTGAGCAAGTTGACTGAAGAAGTAAACAATGTAGTATCAAGTTATTTTTTTAATCTTATCCATGATGCCACCTCCTTCCAAAAAGTCTTTAAGAGAGGTTAAAGGAAAAAACCCAAAATCCAGAAACAAATTGTTCCACACTCATCCCTTTGGTTCTTTCACTGACCTTCTGTCAGTGCAGATGGTCAGCATGAAAGACTTGGAAAAGTTTTCCAGGTACCAGGAATAGCATTTCCTGAAGCATCTTTCATCTTGATTTACTGCAAACGACTCTGTCAACACCCACAGGTCACTTTTACCCTAAGACTCTATGAGTGTGTTCAATTTTGAAATCAGTTACTGAGGTCCTTCATTGAGGGCACCTAGCAAGGTAGCTGTTACCTGGCATGAACCCTGGTTAAATAAAATCGTAGCTGACTCATGTCTGAAGGTGCTCAGGCCGTGCAGCGTGACGATCAAGAGCAGAAGCTTCTGAGTCAGTCTGTCTGTTTGAATCTGGCTACACCTCTGATGGTTGTGACCTTTGACAAGCTACTAACCCTCTCTCCATTACACTTGTCTTATCAATAAAAAAAGGAATAATAGTGGTGCCACTTCCTGGGTTTGTGTGTAGAATAAGTGAATTAAGTGTGTAAAGCATTTAGAACAGTGTCTGGAAACATGGGACCACCCAATAAACATTAGCCCTCATACTCTACACTTTTTTATTTGTATAAGAGTGGGTACTAAGATAGTTTTCAGTATATTTTTAGATAAGAATAAAAAATTAAAGGAAGACCGGTCATTTTTCAAACAAAATTTTATTTACAAAACCACAACGTAGTCTATTGTGGTATCACTATTGACAAAATGCCTCTAAGCTGAGATATTAGCTAAGGAAACACATTGATTTCAGCTGTACATACAACCAGAATCCAGCACCATCTGAATTTCCTATTCCTATGTGGCTCTGAATGCAGCGTAAACAAACAACTCTCTTTATACTGTACAGTGGCTTAAGCAAACCACTTTAATTTTTTTCTATAAGGGTTCATCTGAGACTACTCACATCTAAAATCTGCTATTTACATGGAAATCCCTAAAGAATGGGATAGCTTAGACACAGGTTTAATTCATCTGACTTTTATAATACAATGTCCATATGACTTCAGAGGAATGTCAATATATAATATTGGTAAACAGTACAGATTGATAATTTTCTGACAATTTCATTTATGTGACGTCATGCTGAGGAATCAAGACGATTTCTCCACACATTTAATTTATTCTATTTGCTGATTCACAAAGTCTTGCTCCATATTCAAGTAGTTTTCACCAATATAACATTGGATAACCAGTACCCATGGAAACCGAACAGCCTGCTTTTAAAAATTCCTGGTCAAGCTCTAATTCCGTTGAATTTGTCATGTATGCATGGTTATATGCATGGTTGATGTGTGTGTAGGTACTAATGCCCCTATTCGGGAATGTAAAAATAATGGTATTTGGCTTCTAGTTATAAGAAAAGCTCTCCCTGGTTGGGAGGAAGCTAAGTTACACGTGAAAGAATCTTCTATCTGAAATGTAAGAATACGCCTACACTGGGTAGAGGGGTGGAGAGAGGAGCAGAAGTAGAAGCGAAAAAGAAAAGAATCACGTTGGCTCAAATTAAACTCAGGTGATTAATATGAGATGGCAAATAAATAAATCAACAAATGTCTCATTTTTTTTCAAAAACAGAAATCACTGGCAAGTCCTCATTAATAATTTTAAAGTTGATCCATTAGTATATATTTTACATAGGAAAAAGTCTGAATATGATGTGTGTCGTAATTCCACTCATCTAATGCACTCCTCCACTGGGGTGACCGACAAGTCTTCATCTGGATTCTCTTCTATCTCTGGCAAATTGCCCCAGAGTAGGAAGTTTACACCTGAAAATAAAAGGTCATAAAATTAGCTGGGGCTGACCACTGTTACAAATCGGAACATGATATATGAAACCTTGTATGTTAACATACTTACATTAAGCCATAGTGTTAGCAGTAAAGAGAAAATATATTAAAGAGTGTACTGCAGATAAAATTCCCTAATATTATTTATCTAGAACATAAACTTTCCTTAAACCCTTGTGAGCAAGAGCTTGAATTCTAGACTCTTAGAACTCAAAAGAATTTCATGAGCCCACCTTCTCAAACCCTGCCTCCACCTGTATTACACCATGATCTCTAGACCCTGAACATTTTCCCATCTATTTTGATGATTTTTAAGAATGGGGATCACACAAGATGATTCTAGATTAAGTATCTCTTTGCAAGGTACCGGGAAAAGGCCTGAATAAGACCCTTTATCTCCCAAACAAGCATGGAAGTAGCTAGTGGCTTTTTTCTGATTAAGAAAAAGAAGGTTTTGGAGCCAGTTATAATTTGAACTGCAATCCTCATTACAGGTGGGTTTTAGGCTAGAGGATATCAAGGTAGAGCTGTAAACTTCAGGATCAGCTGTAGCTGCCAATACAATGAACAAAACAACAATCTTAAGTCTCATTGTAAAAGGATGCTCAGACTTCACATTGAAGACTGCAGCTCAGGTGTATAGTGCAAGACCTTATACATGACAGAAGATAAAGATAAAGAAATGCTTTATTTTGGGCACGTGCTATAACTTGAAAGTACTTAATTAGTACTTTCCATTATCAATTGACCTATAAGAGATGTACCATTATCAATTGACCTATAAGAGGTCAATTGTACCATTATCAATTGTCCTTATCAATGTACCATTATCAATTGACCTATAAGAGAGCCAGTGAAGTCCAACCAGAAAAGCAAAGGCTATCCAGTTGTCAGTGTGGGCTCAAGAAGGACCCAGAAGCTCTGGATGCCTGCTGCACACACATACAGATGGTGGCCACATGGTGGAATGAGCCAGGGTTTGGAGATTTGATTTCAATCTAGTTTCCACAATGACCAGTACACCATAGATATTTTTACTACTTTTACTAGAAATGTATGCAGCCATAGATATTTAAATTTTTTACAGCACGGTATTACATATCTTTTTAAATTTGCTTTTATCACTCAACATTACATTTTTGAGATTTACTGATGTTCTTATGTGTAGGTTTAGCTGATTTCTTTTCACTTCTATAGAGTATTCCATTTGTGAATTAAAAAAATATACACACACATGGACATATACATACGTATACATATATACACACATATATAGAAAATACAGCCCATAGTTCATCCCTTCCTCTAAGTGGCCATTTTGCACAGGTGTTCAAGGAGACAAGGACTGTTGCATTGTTGAGACAGTGGAAACAATCAGTTGTTTCTCTTGGTTGAGATACTGGAATCTAATCAGGCAAGAAGTTTGTGTTTGTTTGCTGCTCGCAGGATAGAGACATCTATCATATTATTTTCTGTAATTTTCTGTGTTTGAATCGTCTATAATAAAAAATATTTTTACCCCCAAGAATGAATGGTGTCTTGCTTCCGGTAACATGGCGTCCAAGAGCTGACAGGATAGTAAGGAATTACTAGGCCAACATCAAAGGGATAGTTAGAGCCCACAATGGTTAAGGGGTCACTGAAGTCAAGGGGCCTCTGAGGGCAGTCTCCAGTCCCAGGGGATCTGGACTGAGGTTTCCCAAACCTCCTTGGGACAGTTTCAGGAAATCAGGTCTACATGTCAAGGCTAGCCTAGAACATAGACTTCTTGGGGCCCTTTCAGTCTAAACATTCTAGAAATTTTAGAAGCCTGTGTATGTGTTCCTTTGAAGCTGCTGATTCTGGTGATCCAGGGACAGTTCTAACACCATGGGAAACCCTGTTTTATATGAAGCATCTAAAAAATCTTGCTTTAAAGCACAATTCAACGGAGAAGTCTGATATTCTTGGAGTCAATACTAAGAGACATGAGTAGTTCACCACAATTGGTTCAAAGGAAAAAAAATAAACTAAGAGACTGGATCTGACAGAAGCAGCACCTTCCTTTCTCTGTCAAGAAGGGAGGAAGGAAATCCTGAGATACATCTGTTTCTCACGGATTAGATTCAATGCGAATGCAAGAATGCTGAGCTTTTATCTTTGAAAAATTAACCAGTATTAAAAAGTAAATCAAAATTGAAAAATCTCTACCGTGTGTTTTGAATTTTATGAAGCAGGAAAAACTCTGTCAAAGCAGAAAGTTCCTTTAATGTGTTCCATGAGTAACATGAATATAGAATTGGAGGCCTAAATTAGGAGCCAACATCTCCTACTTAGGGGAGTTCAGATAAGCCCTCAAAAATGGCTTTCTTAACATACTAGAGTCTTAAATTAAGATCCCCAAGTGATGGTTTGAGAGCCACAGTTGAACACCAGGTGACCCAAAAAATCAGAGTCTTTAAAATCCAAGCATAATTGGAGGGTTTAAAGATCCTGACAGCCTAGCTTACAATTCATGAGCTAGTCTGTGAGGGCAAATCATACTCTGGAAAAAGGAAGATATATGAAGTTCTGAAGAAGACAGAACATACATTTAAAAACTGAGTGTGTTAGTGTCAACTTGGACTGTCAAGTTCTTTAATATTGTTCTGTAAACTAAAGGTCTATAAACTATAATTCCCACTAAAAAGGTCCTAGTAAAAATTAACTTGGTCTGTTGTATAAATAGATATTAGACTTGAGAACATGTGTCCTGTAACAAAACTGAATGGTTTCAGACAATATAAAATGTGTTATGTAAATTTCCTTAAAGATTTGGTTGTATATTTTCCTACTAAATAATTACTGCAACATATTAGTATTAAACATTTCCTTGACTAAAATTCCATCATAATTTATTAACATAGATATCAAAATGTCTTCTTTTATCTGGACGTAATAACACCAGATGCAGAGGTCACCTAGTTGTCCCCCCAGTCAGTTCCCCACTGCTCTAGCCTCTCCCCTTCCCTCCCTTTCTTACATACACATACTTGATTATCAGATCTAAAATCTTCCAGAATTCTCTGGAGTCATATGCATCAAGGCAGCAATTTAGAGCAATCAAAATATTAATTGTAAAAGGCCAAGAAGTCCAGCCAAGTTTGAGCCTCTTAAATCCAATGATGAAAACAGAAATGGCAATGAATTTTGGTTAAGAGTTTCCCTAAGTGAATGTTTAGGATAAAAGGACTGAAGTTTTACTCTAGTGGATCCTACCTAGGTAAGAAGGTCTCAGGAGTCCTGAAATGATCAACTAGGAAGTTTCATTCAGGTAATGATAGACCAAATGTTAGAGGAATTTCTGAGAGAATTGTGGCTTACCTGTAGAATCTAGTCTGTTAATACCAAAAACTGACTGGCTGTGAAACATCCAGAAATGTCCATTGTTGCAGGAAAGAAGGCAGGAACAACATGGGACAATGACATGATAACCAACAGTGTTCCCACTAAAAAAGAAAGTAAATACTATTAGATACCATGTAATACTTGTCCATATAAGCATTTTTTTTGCCTTTGTTTTTTTTTATTTTGGTATCATTAATCTACAATTACAGAGAGAACATTATGTTTACTAGGTTCCCCCCTTCACCAAGTCTCCCCCCACATACCCCTTCACAGTCACTGTCCATCTGCGTAGTAAAATGCTGTAAAATCACTACTTGTCTTCTCTGTGTTGCGCAGCTCTCCCCATGACCCCCACGCACCATATAAGCATTTTTATGTGCTCATATAAACAGACCACGTAAAGACCTCACTTCCTCCCTTGCTGGGATTTTTGGGATGGGTGCTACTCTCATAATGGTTAATGTTCTACTGTCATATGGGAAATTAGTCTTCAAGTTAAGTAAAATAATGCCGACGCATTCTTCACTTCTTTGCTAACATTATGCATTCTCCCTTCAGAAGCTAGTTTCTGGATGCCGTAAGGTTGTGATTTGTTCTGTAAAGCACCCAAAATTGATGTGCTGTACGAATATATTAAATAAACTCAGATCTGTGGGTGAAAGGTTTTTGCTATCTGCAGGACTGTGGCAAGTTGGGTTCTTGTATGATCAAGGTCCATGCCAGCACCTAAAAACTGTTTCAGCAGATGGGGGAGTAGGAAGACAGCATGAGTCCCTGTAAACCAAACACAAGCTGGCTGCTCTAATTTTAGTGTCAGTGTTTTTGAAGGAATTCAGAAATAAGGCAAATCCACAGCCTCTAGAGAAAGTTTCAAAAGTTTTACTGCCCTCAGGATTATCCACCAGATTATAAGTACCTCACTCACAAATTTTTTTCCCCTATCTGACCACTATTAAATAGAGTGAATATATGGGGAATGTTTTAGCTAGTACTTAAAAAACATGATAACATGAACTGCTTATACTGAGTTGTAAAAATTCTTATTATAGTGTGTTCCTACCCTGTGAGATGTGGGAGTCAGTCACTTTTTGTGAGGCCCTGTAAGAAATACTATAAAAGGTACCAGCCTACCTAAAATGTCTTCTAATCGTAATCTGCTTGAAAGGCAGACAAATGAAAACAAAAATTGTTCTTGGATTAGAATAACTGGCAGTTATTCCTAAGACTATTGCAAGAGTAAATTCTGTGGCTTTCATTACCACCCACATTCATTCACTTATTCACCATTCAATTAATGTTTATGGAGCATCTTCTCTGTGTCAGGTATTATTATAGGTGCTGGGAATACAGCAGTGGACAAAGTCCTTCTTCTCGGAGAACTAACACTCTAGATGGGACACATCAGATCATTTTGCTCCCTTGTTAAAACCCCTTCAGTGGCTTCCCATTGGCCAAAATGAAAACAAAAAAAACCCCTTTATGTCAAGGACTAGATCTGTGCTATCCAAAAGGAGGCTATTGAGCACTTGAAAGTTGGCTAGCCTAAGAACAAAAAATAGAATGTAATTGTTTATGTTGGTTGCATGTTGAAATGATAATATTTTGGATATACTGGGTTAGATAAAATATATGATTAAAATTAATTTCACCGTTTCTTCTTGCTTTTAAAAATGTGGTTACTAGAAAATTTTAAATTACATATGCAGCTTGTGTGTTTCTATTGGTCACTGCTGCTCTGGAATGTCTGGGATCTGACCACACCTCTAATCCACTCATCGACTCTCCCTGGATATTCACAATGTCTCAGCCGCACTGGCCATCATCTTTTTATTCCATGAACATGTTAAGCTTCTTCTTGTCTTGGTTTCTCGGCACTGGATGTTCCCTCCACCTAAAATATTTTCCCTCTGGCTCCTATTCATGTGTTAGGATTCAACTCCAATGCTACCTTCTTATGAGATGCCTTCCCTGATTTAGATTTGCTCTCTAAAATAGCTCTTACCCATTCTCCCAACCTCTATTATTCATTATTATTATTTCCTTTGGAGCACTTCCCACCCTATTCAATATCTTATTAATTTAAATATCTTATTGACTGATTGGTTGTCTTCCCACTAGAATATGCTGTCCAAAGGCCAGTGATTTTGTCTTGTTTAATGCTGTGTTTCCAGCCCCTGTAACAAAGATTAGCCCATGATAGAACCTCAGTCTATAGTTTGAATGAATGAATGAAATGAAAGAGTCATTAGCACATAAGAACAGTTTGTTAATTTAAATTATCAAGATTATAATTTATAACCCAAGCCCCTTTAAATGAAACTATCTTAACTTTTCATTCTCTAAAATGGGGCTAATAACACTTGAGTCTGTCTACTTCTCAAAAGATAACAGGAATGGCTCCTCCCATCTGTGTTGTAATTTATAGTTTACCAAGCCTTTTAACATTCATAATTAATTTAATTTTCAAAACAACTCTATTAGATAAAACACAAAGATATTTTTAATTTCTATCTTCTTAAGAAATTAGATAAGGAAACAGATGTTCAGAGGTTTAGCAGCTTAAGTTTACTCAAGATCACAGAGAGAGTAAGGTAGGGCCAGGGTTCAAACCTGAATTTTATAACTGTAAATCCAAGTACCCCACACCCCCAACTTCATTACCTTTCCTAAACATTAAAGTAGATATCTGTCAGTGAACTTTGAAAAATTGTACAATTGTATACAAATGGAAGGTGTCACAAGCCCCTATAAAAAAAAAAACACCTCTAAGTAACAATTGGTTTTCCAAGGCTCACTGTGTGGGTTATAACCAGTTCTCAGTGCAGCCCACTGAGCATTTCTCTGTGCTTGGTACCACCACCCATCTCCCAAACCCAAGGCTATCTAGGATTTCCATTGTAACAAAATACCATTTCAAACATGCAATGTCCTTCAGTTTGCATTTGCAGATTTCAGTGAAATAGCTTCTTCCAATGAAGTCCACTGCACTGGGGAGGGAAAAGGGTAGAGATTAAAAAAAAATTGTTGTAAAAAACTCAGAGCATAAAACTGACTAACTTAACTATCTTTAGGTGTGCAGAATGTTCAGAAGTGTTAAGTGTATTCATGTTCTTGTGCAATGAATCTTCTGATCATGTTCCTTTCCCCAAACTGAAATTTTGTATCTGTTAAACAATTCCCCATTCTCCCCTCCCCTGGTCCCTGGAAACCACTATTCTAGTGCCTGCTTCTATGATTTTGACCACTTTAGAGACCTCAGAGCAGTGGAGTCATACAGTATTTGTCTTTCTGTGACTGGCTTATTTCACTTAGCACAAAGTCCTCAAGGCTCATCTGTGTTATAGCATGTGACAGTATAGGCTTCCTTTTTAAGGCTGAATAGCACTTCATTATATGCATCTATCACGGTTTGTTTATTCATTCATCTGTTGATGAACATTTGGGTGGCTACCACCTTTTGTTTATTGTGAAAAATACTGCTAAGAACACGGGTGTGTGCAAATAAATCTTCTGGATCCTGCATTTAATCCTTTCAGCTGTATCTCCAGAAGTGAGATTGCTGGATCATATGGTAATTCTATTTTCAATTTTTTGAGATTCTATTTTTCAATTCTATTTTCAATTAATTTTCTCTGGCAGCAGCACCATTTTACATTCCCACCAACAGTGCCCAAGGCTTCCAGTTTTTCCATATCCTTGCCGTCAGTGTACTTTTGATTGTGATTTAGACCCAAAGAGCTGAGAGACTCTGAAGGAGAACTATAGACTACCTTGTACGCGAGTCAGTTAATATTTGTGAGCTTACTATAAATATGACAAACCTTCCATTTAAAAAAATCTTATTTGTTCATTAATTCACACATATCTTAGCACATTAATCTACCGCCATTATAATCCCTCCAAAGAATAGACAATAGGAAAGACCTGATACTATTCTAGACTCTGGTCTAAATCTAATAATTCAGATATCTGAGCCCTCCTTATGACTGTATTATTACTTACCAGAGCTATTGCAAAGATGAATGGGTTAATATTTTAAATTTGTGTACACGTATGTGCTACTAAAAAGAAAAAAGCACTTAGACAACAAATCACAGAACCTTTGTAAAAGTATGTTCTAGATTTATTGTCTAATGCTTTTTCTTTTTGCAACACACATATTGGTATTTAAACGATTAACCCATTTATCTTTGCATTAAAAGAGAGCCTTTGGCTTTGCCATTAAGCATGACTGCAATTAAACCAATTCAGAAAAGATTTAGGGGGAGAAAGAGTTCATAGCTTTATGTACATTAAAAAAGTTTTTTAAGTTTATATCATTATCACGAAGTTCATTTTAAAGTATTATGATTATTAGCCTGTGTCCTCTGGCACTGTCCAGAGATAGGTAGCTGTCTAGCCATAGTTTGGACAATTACTCTTTCACTGTAATGATAGTTTCAATAAAGAGCCTAAATCTTAAAAATCATGTAAAGGCACATATATGTTGACTATAGAAAGAGAAAGTATCTTTTAGAGCTAGAATAAGTACACTTGAGTAAAATAAAATGGTTATTTTTCCAAATAGGAAGCAAATTTTTTCAGGACTCTATGCCTGGAAGTGGGTAGTGACTGAAAACAGAATTTAAAAGCATTTAATTATGCAAATGATTCATAATATCCAAAACAGGCTTTATGGGAGACAAGGATTATTTTAGAGGTGTCTATTTTATCCCATAAAAACCTGTTTAAGTCTTTCTCATTCAGAAAGAGAGATTTTTGAGAAAAGAACACTGAATTAGACGGACAATGGATTTGATTCAGCATGCCACTTACAAATAATGGTAGAAATTTATATTTTCTGGTGTAAAACTTTTTGGATAAAAATGAAAAACTTAAATGACCTCTCCTCTCCAACAGTACAGGAACCCTTGCTTGAATTTACCTAGAGTCTAGGTCATGGACTTGATCCAGTGAGCTGGGATGGTTGGACAGGGCACAGCGCCAGGGACCCAACTTAAGAGATGTGGTCACATGACTATAATTGAACTAGAAACATTACCTCAGGACCGGCCACTCTGGCTAAACCACAGATTTGTCCAGACGGTCTGCCCCCTTAGTTATTATACTCCAAGGGGATCATCAGACTGTTGGGAGTGGCTGGAACACTAAAATGACAGCCTCCTTTGTCGACTCCCATTTTTGTCCAAGCCATACATTTTCCCCACTCAGTTAAAGGCTACTGTTGCCCGCTACTAGCTTGACTTACTTGGTAGGAGGGATGTCTGTAGAGAAAAGGTCTATTTCAGTATCAGCCAGCAAAACAGCCTTCATTCCCCTTGAGCTGAGCACATGTTTACAGAATTTGCAACACAGGATGGACACGCACCGGTCCTTGAAACTACAGTTGCTGGTAGACATGGCGTCCCAGGAAGGTTGCAATGTGGGACTTTGAAAACTAGAGCAATAGCTTCCCTAGTTTGATGCCCCCAGTCTAATCAAATTGCGAGGCCTCGAGCTTTTTTCAGCCTTAAAACTGGGAAGAAATTAATTTTTTTCTATGTTCCCGCGGGAAGCTGAAAGTAGTATGTATTGAGTAGGAACAGGGGAGAAGCAGCAAATTCGGCTTTCTTTCTAACTTTCGGGGAAGGGAGTAGAGTATGAAGGGGGAAGGCAGGCTGCAAGGGGCCTCGGGACCTTCTCCGCGGGTTTCCTTGTCGCGTTTAAAAGGCTCCTCCGCCCGTTGGCTCCGGCCGCTGCAGCGATTCCCCGAGCTTTCTCCAGTACAGCGCCTTGATCTAAAACTCCCCTCTCCGAAGCCCCTCCCTCGGAGCGCTCCGATTCCTCCCCGGGGATCGCCGGCTCAGCCTCCCTCCCTTTCGCCTCCTCTTTGGAAATCTTCCTCCTGTCCCCAGGATTCGGAAACCCCCTCGGCTTTTCCCACCGGGACAAACCCTGGTTCTCCTTAGTCCTCCCGGGACCCTCCTCGGGTCGGCTTGCTCGCGAGTCCCCCGCTTCACTTCTCTCCCGGCAGCCCCCGGCCCTCAGCGCACTGGCTCTCGCGCCGTTTGCCCCCCGCCGTCCCCTCAGCTCTCTCCCAGAGAGGTTCAGTGCGCTCGGTGGTGGTGGTGGTGGGCGGGGCACAGGTCGTTGTTTGGGCTCAACCGGCGTTGAGGTCTCCGTCACCGAGCACGCCGGCTTTTGCTCGCTCTTCCGCTCTCTCAGCCTTTCCAACTGGCTGTCAGTTTGAATTGCCAGCGCTGAGCACCCATTGGAAGAAGTAGAGCTCGCCCACATCCCGCATTGGAAGGCTCGAGAGCCATCCCCTGAAGAGATCCTAGTGGTGTGGAAACCATACGCCCCGCCCCAGTAACGGTGCCGAGATCGGTTCGGCTTTCTGGTTGGCAGATCCTGACTCCACCTCCGATCTCATTGGCTGGCTCCGGAAGTTTGGGCTCTCCCTACTCCCGCCCTAGTGACAGGCAAGGCACGCCCTTCACCTTTCTTATTGGAAGACGTTCTACAGTCCCCACCGATAGCTACTCTCTATTGGCTAGAATTCTCCGCAACGCCCCTCTCTGCCCCAGTCCAATTGGTCGCGCCTTCTCTCAAGAGTTTGTGTTTGGTTGTTGGTTCCATCTTAATCCCGCCCATCAGTTCTACTTCAGGGTTCGGCAACTGCGGGAGGAGCTCATTCTGTGACCACGCCTTCGTAGTGCTAGTCACACCTCCAAGTTTCGGCAGCCGCTCCTCCTCATTCCTGGCCTCTCGGATTGGCTATTCCTATTGGTTACAGACCCCATCGGTCGCTAGCAAACGGGAGGTGATTGGCAAGGGGGTGGGCTCTGCTTCCCGGCGGGATCCTGCGGAGTTGGCGGAGGTTCCTTAGGGTACTGGGGGACCGGTCTGCGTAGAAGTGGGTGGCGGGGAAGGAAGAACTCTGAGTAGGAAGCGGAGCCGGGGGCCTGGAACCCGTCGCGACAAAGCCAGGTAAAGGCTCCTTTCCCCTCCCCTTTTTCCAGGCCGCCTTACTGAACAAACCCGGGCAGGGGCGGGAAGGAGAGGGAGCGGATGCTGCTGGCGGCATCGCCTTAGCCCTGCTGCCCGGAGTCCCTCAGACTCCCTCCCCCAAGACCCTCTCCAAATCTCCCAGTACAGCCCATAATACTTCCCAGGATTGCCTCTCTCCGCCTTTCACTGCACAGACTGGGACTCTGCCCTGGCTCACGTGCCTCCGCGCAGCCCGCACCCAGCCCCCTCTCCAAGCCCTCTGCACTCGGGCAGCCCTGGTCACCTTTGGGCAGCCGCCGTTGGCATCACCCGTAACAATCGGCTGCCCTCTTCCCCTGTCTCCGAGCCCTGGCAGACAGCGGGTTTCCAGCCCAGGACCCAGGAGGGTGGGTATTCCGCCCTGCTTCCGGGGCTCTTCCCCTGTCCCAGACCCCTGCCCGCCCTGAATGGCTCTTCTCCGTGTACTCGTTTCCAGAGTCAGAGTTACCAACATCCTTGCGCTCCATGTAACATCCTCCCCTAACCTCCTCCCCAAGGAAATCCTTCCCTTGCCCTCTCCCCGCCCTGCAAGCGTGTGCAGAAGGGCCAGTTATTCCCGGCTCCCGTGCAGCCCCCTCCCCGTTTCCTGCCCGCCTGAACCACTGCGCCGCCTCGGCTCTCTCTTCCTTCCTCAGTGCGGCCCTTCCACCGGGAGCGGGAAGCAGAAGACTCCAGCGGGAGCTTCCTCCTCCCGGCCACGAGAGGGAAAGGGGGCGGCCAAGGAGGTCGTCGCTGCGGCAGGCCGGGGAGCGAAACGTCCAGCTCTGCGCTCGCTTCCTTCCCGCCTCCTGGGCCTTGGCCGGGGCGTTATCTTCTCCGGCACCTCCCCGTGCAAGGAGTCGGAACTGCGACCCTCACCGACCTTCCCACCCCCAGCCTGGGATTGGGTGCGGTATCTTGGATCTCGGGGTTTGGGTGACAAAAAATATTGGGGGTGGCATTTACAGTCATTCTCGTCTCTGGCTTGGAAGCGACGACTGCCTTCCGCCCTCCCCTCCCCAGCCGCCTGGTTTTCCCGACTCCGACCCTTGCTTCTAACCCGTTTCCTGCTTCTGCCGACCACATTGTTTTCCTGGATGTGTCCCGTGCCGAGCGGGCTTTTTCCTGCATATCTCCCCCCACCCCACCCCCCGCAACATTTTGCTGCCAAGAGAAGCTAGTAACCAAAAACAAAACAACTGGGAGGAGGGTAGGGAGGGGAAGAAAAGTTGTGCCCGGGTGGCGTGTCCCTCCCCGGCTTTGATCCCCTTTGATGTCCAGGGAGTTGCCCCAGCCGGGGGTCAGGGGCCGCGTTCGAGGCTGGGCCGGGAGGTCTCCCTCCAGCTGGCCGCTGCCCAGCGCCAGCGGGGCTCGGGAGGCCGCCGAGGTGCCGCAGTCCCCGCCCGGAGCCCTGCGTTCCCGCCGCAGTCCCCACCCGAAGCTCGCGCGGGCGGCTGCTCCGAAGTGTTTTCTTTCAGCCTTAAAACAAAATCCGTAGGGAGCTTCCTTCCACCCCACCTCGCCTCGCGTCGGGCCCGCCGGCGTTTGGCTGAGATGAACGGGCCCAGGCCGGGCTTTGAACGACGTCCCCTACCCCACCCCTGCCGTGATTAGGATCTGCGCCGGGGCTCATCGCCCCCTCCCTTTTCCCCTGCATTTACAGGCAAGTGAACCGGAGCAAACGACTTCCGATCCAGTCCGCGCTGCTGCGGCTCCCGTTTGGGATTTGATTTGCAGCATCTTCGAGCCTGTGCAACAGAAAACCGCGAAGCACGCCCAGCCCTCCCCCGGCACCCCGATACGCACCCATTCCCTCCCAGGGACACAGCTGGGCGCGTCCACACCCCCGCACCCCCCACACCATGTTGTGCGGAAGGACTTCCACTCCCCGCCTGTGTCGTTGATGTCAGACCCCAGGCCAGCCTCCGGGCGCTGCAGTTCTCCCGGCTAATGCTGAGGCTGCGGCTCCGGCTCTAGCAAAGGCACCAGCCGCCGCGCCCGGCCCCAGCGCCTACCGTCTGCATGTGCCCGCCGTAGCCGTCTGCCCAGCCCGCAGCCCGCGCTCCCCGGAGCGCTGGAGACCACCGCGGGGGGCCCCTTCTGCCCTGGGGAGAAGCGCTCTTGGAGGTATTGATTTCGGTGTTGGATTTTTCCTGTGGATCTATCAGTTCACAATTTGAATTGGGAAGAAAGAAGGAAAACATGACGTCTCCAGCCAAATTCAAAAAGGATAAGGAGATCATAGCCGAGTACGATACTCAGGTCAAAGGTAAGGCCTTTTAAAAATAGCATAATGCATATCCCCAGTGGACCACTGAGGCATATATTTCCACTCTGATTTGAAGGATGGTCATTTCTTTGGGTGGAGCAGGTGAGGGCAGGCTGAGCCCAGAGGTGGTTTCATAGGTGGAGCTGAGCCTCCCAGGGATGGGCTGTGACAGGGGCCACAGGCTCTGGAAAGGAATCATCAGAGTGGGCTTTGGGTTTGTTTCTGTAGGGCTGGCCGTTCTTTTTGGCAGCCCTTTCATCCCCAGGCTGGATAGGGTGGCAGGAGGTGCCGAAGGGTCTTGGAGTGAGAAAGGCAGTAATTGCCTCTGGGTGTCTGGGTCAGGTTTCCTTGAAGGACAAGTGAAATCTGACAGGTGTTTGAGAATTCATTTCCAGAGGGTGGAGAGGAATCCAGGTAGAGAATGTATGTCCCTTCTCAATTCAGAGAGTCATGACAGGCGGGGTTTTATCTGATGCACTCTATCAAAACATGACATTTGCTATGGCATCGGACGCAAAGTCTGTAGCCACCTTGGGTGCACCTTTTACTCACCTGGTCTCTGGCTGCCCCGCATTCAGTCAGAGATTTGAGAACAGAAAGAATAAGGCCACTCACACCCAGTCTCCTCCCTCACCTAAACCTGAATGGAGTTGGAGTGTTAGGGTTGCTGGGTGCTGATTCTGGAGAATGGGAAGGCATAATTGTTTAACCCTTCTCTGTGATTGCTCTCTGCTCCAGAATACGTGCCTCTAAAGGCCCAATTCCCTCTGCAGAAATATGAAGGGAAAAGCAAAACGTGGGCCTGGAGAAACCAAGTGACCTGTCTGCACATGTAGTCAACTGCCTGACTTGGCACATGAATCAAAGCCCCTTCCCGGATAACCTTTTATTTTAACCAGTAATTCCCATAGGAGGGGTTCCTGCCTATTAAAGAGCCCTAGCGTATGTTTGTGCAAGGCTCTGTCCCTTCCTGGCCAGTCACTGGAAGAGCCCTGTGGCTCTAGCCCATTGAGACCTCAGCTGGGGAGTGGGAGAGGTGGGTGGCCTTGGACATTACACCACATGGTTGGAGCTCTGGGTTTTCCTTTGTTTCAGACTACAGAGGGAGGGGCCCCTCCTTCTTTCCCTGCATCAATGCAAGGAGACCTTTCCTATCATAGAGGACTTGGGAAGGGCCCTATCTCCTTTCTCATGATTGTCTGAGGTAGGGGTAAGGATAGGGGTAGAGTTTGGAAGGGGCCTCTGCCTTCTCTCTGGGAAGGTTGGCAGGTAGTTTGAAGTCCCACTGTGCCTGTAGGATCTTTTTAATGTCACCAGCTTGGTCTATGCTGTAGGTGCCCTGAGGGACCTTCTATCTACTTGGCTGCAAATACTGGTGGGTTTATTATGGAGGTGGGGGAGTTGACTGATTGATAGCTTCAGTTGAACTGGGATTGGGAGAGGTGTGGTTGTGAGTTAAAACTGAGATCTTGGCCTCTTGTCACTGTTCAAAATCTGGGCCTGTTTTTGTAAACAATAGGCCACTGACCTCTGTGTCCTGTCCAGATGCACTGCATTCTGCTCCTGGAATCCCCCCTGCAGTTTAAACCAGATATGTCATTCTTTTTTCTTATTTTAACACATCCTATTCTTAACTGTTGCCATAGGAAGCGTTAATAACTTTGACTTTCCCAGATTTCTCTCCAGAAGCACACCATTTGACTAAGGTGCAAAGTGATTTTACATGTTTATTTTTTGGAAGGTTGAGGCTGATAGGTGTTAATAGAACCGTATCTGCCAATTCCTCATTGGTGAGGAATTTCTCACGAGTGTGTCTCAAAATGAAACACTTCATGTATTTACAAACATTGCTCATTGAGATGATGTAATGCCGTTGGCTCTTTGGGGTTTCTCTTCAACCTTGCCACAAGCAAGGAGCTATTTGGCTTTGCTCTCACATTTTTCCATTGACACCATTCGGGATCATAGAATTTTATAGGTGCTCTAGCATGATGTCTTTCTTACTCAGGGAAGGTGCACGTTGAATGCTTATGAAACTGGTTTGAATGGTTAAACCCTTCATTTTAGAGCTGAAGAGAGTACAGAGAAATTAAGAGGCTTGTCCAAGGTCACACAGCTAGGTGGTGGTAGATGTGA